ATTACGCGCAGAGACGCAGTAGGCACACACACACACACACACTAGAGCCCTGCACTGAAGCCCTAGGCTCTCGGGTCGGCCCGGCCCGACGGCCCTCAGGCCGGGCTTCGGGCCAACAACTGTGTAATTACCTAGGACACGGGCCGGGCGCCTTTATTTTTAATCGAATTCATTAAAAAATTGAAACACTTAAACCAGGGGTCGGCAACCTCTTCCCATCAAAGAGCCATTATTACCCGTTTTCCACAGTAAAGAAAACACCGCAGCAGCTGCGGCGTTGTGGGCGGGGCCTACCCTCAGTCAGCAGAGAGCTGCTCACAACAGGTGACAGCAGCCAGTACTGGTCGCTCGTGTACGTCAAAGTTATCTTTCATAAGACGATAATCAATAAAACGATTTATATAAAATGGATCCAGAAGTTGTAGCCCGTCTCTGCCGACAATATTTAGATATTTTTCACCCTGTTGGTGGTTTTACTGAGCAGGTGCCACTTTTGTCATACGTTTCTTTTTAAAACATGTTTAGACTGTTCAGAATACAAATCCAGGCTCTGTCATGTTTGATTGTTGTAATTAAACTTTGTAGGTGGGGAAGGTCAGAAAAGGATCCGATCAATTTGCTTTTCCCTCATTTACAGTGACGGAGATAACGGCGCAGTGCGCCTGGCTCTGGTGGTAATCAAGTTTAATTTTATCTATTTTCACAAGAAAACAGAACAGTTTAAAGCAGGGCTTGTGTTGTGTTGACCGGACAGTTCCCGTATTTGACTGTTTATTTTGACGGAGAAAGAATAGAAAGAATTACCCCGACGCATGCAGATGAACTGACATTTTATTCGTTTCGCACATCGCAGATGTAGCTAAATCACTCAAGAAAAGATTCCCATCTGAACATCTGAGCTAGACGCTGCTCAGCACAGCTCACTGTCAGCGTGTACTACATAAGGTCCACAGCGAGCTGAAGATGTGGAGAGGGGCATGGAGCGCGTCGCAGAACCAGAGCGCATGCGGGAAGATTCCTCCCACTGATCTTCCCGCTGATCTGAATCTGATGCGGCTCTCTGTGCTTGTAAAATAATGAATGGATATTTAAATAAAATGCTTTATATTTTACTGAATTAATTTTATATCTGTAAGTCAATTCTATGTAAAGATTGTCTGCGTAAACCTGAACAGGTCCAACCCAGTCTTATTGTGAGACCGGGTTGACGCGTCACGCTTGTGCGTAATCATATCGGCGCTTCCTGAGCTGAAGAGGATGTGAGATTCTGGGCTTCTCCTCAGACGGCTAATGGATGTGTCGCCACATTGGAGACAGGAACAAGCACTATTCAGCCAAAGTTTCATAATCAGGGAACATTTTCTAAGTGACAAGTCTCTCTGAGAGACCGGGTTTGGAAAACACTCGCTTCAGTCAGAGGAACCTTCCCGCATGCGCTCTGGTTCCGCTACGCGCTCCAAGCCAATCTCCACATCTTCAGCTCGCTGTGCACATATGCGCTGACAGCGAGCTGCACTGAGCAGCTCAGAAGTTCAGATGGGAATCATTTCTTGAGTGATTTAGCTACATCTGCGATGTGCTTAGAATAAAATGTCAGTTCGTCTGCATGCGTCGGGGTAATTCTTTCTATTCTTTCTTCGTCAAAATAAACGGTCAAATACGGGAACTGTCCGGTCAACACAAGCCCTGCTTTTAACTGTTCTGTTTTCTTGTGAAAATTGTTGGAAAGAGATATACCGTAAATCCTCGAATACAGGCCCGGGCCTGTATTTGACTCAAGCTCATCAAGCTCCAGGCCTTTATTGGAAGGAGGGCCAGTATTAGAGGCAGGCCTCTATTTCTATTTGAGGAAAATGAACGAATGGTTCGCTGGAGTTTTTGACAATTAAAATTGCGCCCACATTTTCAAAGTTAAACACATTTCTTTTAACAACGGTAGTTCCTGCTTCAGCCCTCTCCCCCCTCCCCTTGCTTCAGCCCTCTCCCCCCTCCCCCTGCTTCAGCCCTCTCCCCCCTCCCCCTGCGCAGCGGCTGCAAACTCACTGATGCGCCTGCAGCCTCTCGGAGTTCCTGCTGCTCTAAACATTAAAATAATTATTTCATTTTCTGTTCCTCACTTCTGATTACCTTCAATGGTGTCTGTTTGTTGCAACCAGCAGGTACAAAAACTAACTTGTTTTTATTTGACTATTTTTCTGTCCTGCCTATTTATTATCTTCCTGCATCTCCTCTCAGTCCTAAAGAGAAACTGCTACCTGGGTTCATATATATTCACCTCATGAGTTACCTTTGAACTGCAGTTCTAAAAGATCTACCGACCGCTAAAACAGCGGAGCGCCCACTGTTTGGCAGCTGTATCAGTGATCAGTGCGTCGGAGGACAAGGTGATGCGCGCAGCGCCCGCTCCACAGCAGCGAAACACATCAGGCGCAAATAAAAGACAGAAAACATTAAAGGAAATGAACTGACATGAACGATCGCGTGTTAAATTAGTTTTTGAGGTGGCGACACCTGATTGTTACTGTGGCCGTGCTCAGGAGGCAGATCTACCGACCGCGAAAACAGCTGAGCGCTCCCTGCTGTGATCTGTGCGTCGGAGGACAAGGTGAAGCGCCCCGCTCCACAGCAGCGATACACATCAGGCGCAACTAAAAGACAGAAAACATTAAAGGAAATGAACCGACATGAACGATCGCGTGTCAGTACCTACGGTCCGGCACAGCGCGTTGCTGATCACAGAGAATGTGATCATACGATAATTCAATAGGGAGCGTGGTTTCACAGACGCGGAAGTGATAGCGTCGGTGAAACGCCGGCTGATCTAGGAAACCCCCGAGCGTTCGAGCGTCAACGAAGTGACACGGAAATGCCGGGCTTTCCAGAAGTAAGTAAGATAACTTACTATGAGCTGATAGTTCGTTGGATTGATCGGTAGGTTGGAAACTCTGATCGTGAATCTTAACAAACGATGACTGAGTGGTGAGCTGGAAAGGCGACTTCCGTTTATAGCCGTGGTTTGTGACGTAGGTGCGACGTGAGGGAATCCCCGCGAGGGGCATGCTGGGAGTCCCTACTTCGCGGATTTTCACCTATCGCGGCCAGGTCTGGAACGCATCTACCACGATAAACGAGGGATTACTGTAGTTCATACACCCCCTACTGCTGCTCCCCAGTGTTCTGCAGCATAATCAGCACGTTCTCTTTGAACTTGATAGTGTAATGACCTGGCTGGGGTTGTAAGCCAGGTGCATTCTGGGTATTGTGTTATATGTGTTTCCTATCGTTCTGCTAGTTCCTATGTGCTGATTTGCGTGTTGTGTGAGTGTTATGTAAGCCACAGGGAAGGTGATGTGTGTTCTGTGGAGTGGGTTGAATTAGCATGGTTAACTGACACCGTGACTCTGTGTGGTAGGAGCGTGATAGAGGATCGTGTCTGTAGCGTTACAAAGCATGGAAGAAAAAGCCGAAAAAGGGTCTGCGTGAACTTCTACTGCCTCTTGCTGGTTGATTTGGGGACTACAACCCTGCCGCTGGGACACTCGTACTTGCTTACCACCTTCCATCCGGCCACAATAAGAGACCGGCCATTATTTGCCTCCGCTGACTCCGACACCGGCCAGAATTGGAGACCCGGCCTTTAATTGAATACCGGCCTGTATTAGAGGATTTACGGTAATTTAACTTGATTACCACCAGAGCCAGGCGCACTGCACCGTTATCTCCGTCACTGTAAATGAGGGAAAAACAAAATGATCGGATCCTGCACGTCTTTTCACACATTGGTCAGGATTGACGCACTTTGTTTTCATTTAGTTGGTTAAAAAAAAGTCGGGCTCGGGTCGGGCCAGAGAATCCTGAAAACCTTTTCGGGCCGGGTTGGGCTGGGGCTCCACCCCCTCGGGCCGGGCCGGACACGGGCTCAGATTTTAGGCCCGTGCAGGGCTCTAACACACACACACACACACAATATATTAAATTTTTTTTAACAGAAGTTGAAATTTGTTTGGCCAAATTATTACCGACATCAGCAAAACAGTTGTTAAATACTGTACTGTCCACTATATCACCGTACTTCTTTTAAAAAGCCTTGGGAATTTTGTTTTGTTATGTTTTTCATTGATAAGAACATTTATAATATTCCAAGTCACTAGAATATAATTTTTACTTCCTTCCAATAATGTATTATAGTGCTCCTTTTTTCTGTTTTCTTATAATAGAGGTCAATATATTCTTATAATGTTTATATATTTTTTCACTTTCACTGGTTTTTAATAGTAAATAATAGTAAATATTTATTATATAGTACATTTTTCTTTCTGCATGCCATTCTGCTTAGTCATCCATGATTTTCTGTTACAAATTTTCTTCACCTGATAGTTTCTAATGGGACAATGTTTGTTCTAGAGATTTAAAAATATAGACAAAAATGTGTCATATGCCAAATTCACATCCTCTACATGCACATCTTCCCAAGCACAATCTGCGAGGTCTACCTTTAAAGTCTCAGTTCTTTCTAAATTCCTTATTCTCACTAATTTATGTGTAGACTCATCATTTGCAACTGAAGCATTATCTATTAAACTATGCAAAATTCCAAATATAGGGAGATGATCCATAATGTCATTCAGGAATATACCAATTGTAGCTGAACCGTACACATGTGTAAAAATGTGATCTATTAGTGTAGCTATCCTTTATAATTCTGCAGGGCTTGTATATTAGTGGCCTTAATCCAAAACTAAACACAGTATTCCAAATGTCATTTGTTGCTTTATGAACATTCCATTTCAACAAATCAATATTAAAATCCCCACAAACAAAATAAGACTTTATCGCTTTAAGTTTTTTTTCACTAATGTTATGCTATTCAAATACTGCTCCATACAGGAGACAGCTGTTCTTTATATACAACTCAAAACTATACTCTTGCACCTTTCACATCACAGAAACAAACGTTGCTGCAGAAAAATAGCAGAACCAAAGAAACAAAAAGGCTTCACCTTGGTCCTCCTCTTCCCTGAAGAACTCCTCACTGTCGTTGGCAGAGTGAGACTTTTTCATCTCTGCAACACGATTCCGTGGCATCTTTCTTCTCAAAGAAGGAGAAAAGAAGGATGGGCGGTTCCGCTCTGGGGTTGGAGGAGTGCTGAATGATGTCACCTAAAAACAAATGAAACAGCACATTTATTAAAAACCAAAACAGCTAATGAATGGTCTGGTTCACGAGTCAATTTCAAGGCCAACAAGATGAGTCCGGCCCTCCTAGTAATTTTAAATGACCTGCAAGCGCTTAAAAGGCGTGTAATTGCCTCTGAGAAATAAATACACAAATAATACTTTAGAGAGTATATTTTAAATACTCCCATGATGAAGAAAAAGATGCATGTATGAATGTAAAAGACAACAAATTAATTGCTCGGGTTGCAGCATGGATCTCCGTTACTAATCTCAGCGCTGAAGCTGCAGGTGGATGGGGCTGCAGTAGCTCAACAGGTTGAACGAACTGTCCACTATTGAACTGAATAGGCTTTATTGTCATTGTACAGAGTACAACGAAATTGGAGTGCTACTCCCTTGGTGCCAAATACATGGTACAATGGTAATTGCCATTCAGTGGCCTTATAGCCACAGGATAAAAGCTGCTGTGTAGTCTTTTTTCCTCGTTTTAGTGCTCCTGTATCTTTTGCCTGATGGCAGTAGTTGGAACAAATAATGAGCAGAGTGTGAGGGATCGTTTTGGGTGCTTTCTGCTCTCCTGAGGCAGCGAAAGTTGTGTAGTTCATCCAGAGAGGACAAACGACAGCCGATGACCTGCTGAGTGGTCTCCACAATCCTTTGGAGTGATTTCCAAACAAATATAACAAATGTAAAAACTAAGGAACACCATCCATCCATCCATTGTCTGATCCCGCTTTATCCACGTAGGGTCGCGGGGGGGGGGGGGGGGGGGGGGGGGGGGGTCTGGTGCCTATCTCCAGCGGTCAATGGCCAATCAGGCGGGGTACACCCTGGACAGAGAGCCAGTCCATTGCAGGGCACTCCATTCCCAAAACTGGATCTCTCCTTCTCACTAGATGGGAGCTGGAAAGTAGGGGTGGGCAATACGGGCAAAAAAAATCATATGATTTTGTCTTTGCAAAATCGCAATCACGATTTTTTCTATTTTGACAATTCAGGCATTTTGGAAGTTATTTACCAGTAAAATACATTCATTTAAAATCATACCCCTTCACAGAAAATAGGATAAAAGATTTCAGAATCCTAAAAAATGTTTTCCTGAAGTTATTTTATCTATCCATCTTTCTCTATATACATATCTTTCTCTCTTTATCGCTAGCTCTATCTCTATCTCTCCATCCACAGTTGAAAGCTAGAGATACATGTCTCAAATGTCCCACAGGCACTTTCATTTAATTATATATTTTAATTAATGTAAAATAATTTAGTCTATCTAGAGGAGGCTCATATCCAATCATCCACAATATTATAAGTACTTATTTCATTTTTCTGAGAAAAAAAAATCCATCATGTTAAGCTAAATTCATGATGCATCCTCATCTTATGCATTCTTTAGTCAGGAGTACACTCACTATTGTTTACTACTATTTGTCCCTCATTGCTCTACGTAACTGTTTCCTGATTGCGCAGGGGAGGGGCTTGGCATCAACAACACTCAGGTCAGCAGCCAGTGTGAAAAGACTTGCTAAAACACGTCACAAAGCTAAATGCAACATTTAGAGCAGAACATTGACCCAAATGTTCCCTGATCGAGTAGACACATGAGAATGCACTTAATGACTGCTTACAAATATACTGATGAAGGTTCTCTGTCATCCAGCTAATGGTAATCCAAAATGGTTCAAATGAAGGCAACTGGACTTCTTTGGTTTCTTGAAGACATTTCGCTTCTCATCTGAGAAGCTTTGTCAAGTCTAACCAGCTGGACCAAGATGATTCCTTAAAAAAAAGGACAAACCAGATCTGTACCCTCCTGGACCTCTGCCCTTCTACCACCTACTACAAACACAATGACAAGTTTTAGAGGCAAAAACATGGATGCGCCATGGGCTCCCCAGTATCACCTATCGTCGCCAACATCTACATGGAGGAAGTGGAAACCAGAGCACTGAACTCCTACCATGGAACAGCACCAAGCCACTGATTCAGCTATGTGGACAATACATGGGTCAAAATTCTCACCAAGGAAGAAGACTTTACCAAGCACATTAATTCCGTGGACAAGAACTTTAAACCACCTTAAATAGGGGCGGGGCTTAGATTTCACCTTTCTAGCACCTAGAGTATAATGCAGCTGTGAATCTCATTCCTAAGCTGTTTCATTTTAGGTCACACCTTACTGCATCTAATCAACACAACGTCTCCCTCTCAATAGAGGCTAAAGACTCATCAGGGGATGAAGAGGAGGGGTAATCAGAGTAGTTTCTGCTCGTTAAATAACAACAGACAGCTACAGCTTATAAGCTTGACTCTCCCATATTCTAGTTAGAATGGACAAAGCTCCTTGGATGAGAAGCAAAACATCTTCAAGAAACCAAAGAAGTCCAGCTGATCTTCATTTGAAGCCTTTTGGATAGAAAATCCCTACCGCTACTCAGATTCTAAAATTTATACCCGGAATCACCTAGGTGGCGCTATTGCAAAAGTCAATGCGTTTCAGCTACTAGCTCCCAAAACATAGGTCCAACAGTCAAAAACTTTATATGTGCTTGATCCTTGGATGATTCTGCATGTCATTTGTATGGCCACGCCCATTTCCGCCTAACTAGATCTTTTGCTAAATTGCAAAACACAAAATCTAGTTTTAATAACTAATCTGTTGTTTTTCATCGAATCAATCTGAAACGTTGTACATATGATCTATTGATGAAGAGAAGTCGTTGTGATGAAGAAAAATGCGAAAATATTAAAATTGGACTAATGACACAATGTCAAATTCAGTGCGCTAGCTAGGACATGTCCTAATTGATGACATCTCCACCATTTTTCAAGATAAAATGATGAGACTCTAGACTCTTACAAAGTAAGATCTGTAAGCCATATCTACCTAATCTTGTTTTGATTCAGCAATAGGGGGCGCTAAAGAGTGAAAACGTTTGTTTCAGCGAAACGGCTTGATGGATTTCCACAGAACTTGGCACAGGTGTTTATCAATCGACCCTTAAGCTATATTTTGAATATGATTTAAAAGTGGGCGTGGCTTATAGGCTTGAAAAATGTTCACCCTTTTACTCATGAAAAATATATATTCTTTACAGAAAGTTACAGTTCTTCTCTGTAATAGTGTCATCTACAGTCACAGACAAAAATGCGTTTTTTGTCCAATAGGTAGAAGAAGAAGAAGAAGAAAGTATCATTTCTATAGCGCCTCTCAAGATAAAAAACACAAGGCGCTTCACAAAAGCAAAAAATGTAAAAATATAAAAAAGCATTTAGAAAATGTTTAAAAATATATTTAAAGTGAGCAAAAATAGGCAATTGTGATTATAAAAAATGTTAAGAAAGAGAGAGAGTGAACAGGAAAGAGGGAAATCAGTGGATCCTGAGGAAGGTGGAATTGGTGGGGAGAGCAGAATAAAGAGAGAGTGGTGAAGAAGGTCATACCATACCATACCACCTTTATTTATATAGCACTTTAAAAACACAGCCATATGGCTGACCAAAGTGCTGAACAGTCGCACAATAACAGAGATAGAAAACATAAAACAGTACTATGAAATACAACCAACAATAAAAAAAGACAAGCCGATAAAAAAAGTACCAATAAAAACCTTACAATGGATGATAAAATAAGAGTAGTAAAAACCAAACTAACAGCTAACTGTTAAAAGCAAGGGTAAAATAGTGTGTCTTTAGTCTAGACTTAAAATCTGCCAAGGTGGATGCCAGTCGAACTGTGACTGGAAGTTCGTTCCACAGTTTAGGACCCGCGACAGAGAAAGCTCTTTGTCCGCATGATTTGTAACACGCTTTCGGGACCTCGAGGAGCAACAGGCTGGAGGACCTGAGTGTGCGACCAGCAGTATAAATTGAAAGAAGATCAGATAAGTACAGGGGGGCAAGACTATGGAGGGATTTGAAAACAAAAAGTAGCATTTTATATTGGACCCTGAAAGTGATGGGCAACCAATGAAGGGATTTGAGAACTGTGTTATATGCTGGCGCCTGTCAGTACGCGTTAGGAATCTAGCAGCTGCATTTTGAACGAGTTGAAGTCGGGCAAGGGTTGACTTATTGACACCCAGCAAAATTGCATTCGAGTAGTCGAGCCTAGATGTGATGAAGGCATGAACAACTGATTCCAAATCTTTCCTAGATAAAACGGCTCTTAATTTGTACAAATGGCGGAGTTGGAAAAAACAAGATTTTACAGTGGCATTGACCTGGGCGTCCAACCTTAGAGATGAATCCATCTTCACACCCAGGTTTGACGCAACGGTTTTTAGATTTCGCGAAACAGATGAAAGATCTGGGGTTTGGAATGGGCTAGATCTGACTGGATTAAACAGGATCAGTTCAGTCTTGGAATCATTGAGATGCAGAAAATTTGTGGCCAGCCAACATTTCACATTGCATAGGCAATCTAGAAGAGGCTGGATGGATTGCTGGGGTTTCACCGACATGTAAATCTGACAGTCGTCAGCATATAAGTGATATTGAACATGGTGTTTTTTTAGAATTAATCTGAGGGAAAGGAAGTAAAGACAAAACAACAAAGGGCCAAGAATAGAACCCTGCGGGACCCCACACGAGAGAGGAGCAGAGCGAGATGAGATGTTGTTCAACACCACCCGTTGGGACCTGTTAGACAAATAAGACCTAAACCAAGTTAGGGCTGGACGACGTATTGCAGCAACCTCCTCTAAACGTAATAAAACGATAAATGACTAGCACTTGTATAGCGCCTCTCAGAGTAAGGACTCCAAAGCGCTTTACACTACAGAGTATCATTCATCCATTCACACACACATTCACACACTGATGGTGATGAGCTACGATGCAGCCACAGCTGCCCTGGGGCTCGCTGACAGAGGCGAGGCTGCCGAGTACAGGCGCCACCGGTCCCTCCGACCACCACCAGCAGGCAAGGTGGGTTAAGTGTCTTGCCCAGGGACACAACAGCAGAATTCTCTGTCCGGAGC